TAAATAAAGTTAATGATTAAATAATAATAAATTAATGTAAAATTGAAGATAATGAAAAATAACTTATATACTACATTTACATGGCCTGATATGAATTAAGAGTAGACAAACGAATTTGATCCAAGTCAATGGAGTTTAGGAAGATTTGAAATAGATTGTTATTTAGGTAATGGTAAATTTGGAGAAGGATATTTGGTGAAGTAAATAATTATATTTATTTTAATTATGGAGCGTGAAAAACAATTTATATTAGCTTTTAACTAAATTTATATTAATTGATGGGTTCATTTAATAGAGAAGTAGAAATTCTTAGCCATTTAAAACATCCAAATATTATTGGATTCTAAGGTTTTTTTAGACAGAAAAAAGAGTTTATTTAATGTTAGAATGGACTCAATTAGGTAATCTTTGTATGGTTCAATAAAAAAATAAGCAAAAAGAAAATTATACTGAAGAAATGGCATCAAAATTATTAAGTAAATTACTATTGCTTTGTACACATAAGAAACTGAAAAAATCAAATTATAAAATGAAGTCCATCTTTTTGTATTATGTGTTGATGTATCAGATAATGAACTGACCATGCTTAAATTTATTCATCTTTATGTACAATATCACTATATTATTTAAAATAATCTAAGAAATCTTTCAAATCAAATAGTTAAATTTTTATCACATATACAATTATTTCATTTCCTTTATAAACTTTAAAATATTAAAAAAAAATACTAAGCTAGTTCATGAAATTTGTATATTCATTTTATTAATGAACTTTTTTCAATAATAATAATCATAATTTATTATAATTTATAAAATATTTTGAAAGCATATATTTGAAATTATTTATATGATAAGAATATTAATATATTTCTTTTCAAGATTAAATTTAATCAGTATTTAAACCCTATTCAAATTCACTGATTTCTTAATTTTAAAAAAGATGTAAAATTGATTAATTATCCTAATCTTGAATAAAAGAATTTCTTGTTATACAATTGTCTGTCTATAACTTTTGTAACTATGGAAATGACCTATAACAACCAATATACTATTTATTAATATTTTATATTACTTATTTTTCTTAATTTTCATTCTCAATATTACACTTTGAATGATCAACAGTTATAATTTATATGATTCCACCTTCTAAACTTAATGCTATATACCCATTAAAAGAATCAACTATAGATTTGATCTTAAAATCAATCTTAATTTATTAAATTAATCTTCCTTTTAATATTCTTTCTTTCTTAATGTTCCAAAAAGATAATTCATTATTTTAAGAACTAATTAGTATTTCATCATTTGAAATAAATTTAATATGATCTATTTTTTGTTGTTATTCACTCTTCCAAGATTCCTTTCTAATCCATTCTTGATTCTTTTATACTTAAAGTATAATTATATCTCCATCGTCCCAACCTTAAGCACAATATTAACCATCATTTGAAAACCCAAATATAAATCTATTACACCCTGTATTAAATAGAATTTTTATTTGTTGCTAACCACTTTTCTTGTCCAATAAACACCGATAAATAAAGCCAGTAGTTACTTCTTAAAGTATTAAAATTTCCTCAGAAAGTAAACTCATACAAATCCAAGATTTGTCTAAAGCAAAAACTTAGACTTATTATTTATAAAGCTCTAAATCAATAATTCTATATTAGTCGTTATAAAAATAAGTTAAATATTTATTTCCTACACTTATTAATGCAGTTTGGCCAAAAAGATAAGGGTGTAAATTTAGCCCATATGTTAAATGTTTCAAAGGAATAAAAATTTTTTAAATAGGCAGTGAATCACTTTAACTGTTAAAACTATGTATCTCTAAAAGTTTCGAATCGCAATTATACATCCAAAAATGATTAGTATCTAGTGTCATACCGTATTCAATTAACTGCTTTTCAGCATCTTTTATGAAATATTCTTCACTATTAAATGAACAAATGAACGTCTAAAATTTTGATAGATGAATAATTTCAATTATTTTCTTAGTATCAATCTTAAAAATGTTTATTGTCTTTTAACTTTCACCTTCTGCTTAATAAAGAATGGCTAATTTATTACCTTATGAAAAAACATTATGTTTAATAATGAAACATTAATGAGGTATAGTAATTCTATTAAACATTTCATAGTCTTTGAACTCTTTTAGATCATAAATCAAAATTTAATTATCTATCTAACATGAAATTCCTAAAGAATTATTTATTTTCACAAAGTGACAGCTAACAAAAATGCTTATATTTTCATTATTTAGATTAATATTAATATTAATATTTTAATGGTCCAACATATTCCATACTATAATTAAACCACTTTCATCTATAGATACCATATATTTTTCATCTTAAGTAAAGTTAATAGCCATAATCCCTTTCTGCCCCATGAAGTCATCTAATTTTATTCTTTCTTTTAAACTCCATATTGATATCTCATTATAATTTATTATATAATATTTAGTTTCATTAGGACATATCCCAACTAAACCTTTATTTGTTTCAAGCATTTTGTCATAACAATTATTTATAAGTTCTTGAGTTTTTTAAATGCAAAATACATTATTATCACTTTTTGTTATTAGAAATTTCTTAATAAACCTAACTTATCCTTGAATATCTAGTATTGGAATTGAAAGAAGTAACCTTATATTATCTAATATAGATATATCCCAAATATTCATATAAAAGTGATTCCTACTATGATCTTAGTTAAGTACTTTTTTTACAGATAACAATTAATTGCTCTCAGGCAGTAATTGTTTAAAATGTTACTGATCAAATTTTTTAAATGTATATTTTAATTTTGGATCTTATAAACTTTGAAATATAAGTTCGTCATTATTTTTTTAATATACAAGATATTAACCATCTTATGTAAAATTTGGATTTTCAGCTAAGTATCCATAGTCATCTTTATTAAACAATATTTATTAATTTAAATATGTAGTTTCTCTATTTTTATTAATTAAAATTTTTGATTTTTCAATTATTGCTACTTCTGTATTTGTTAAAATTTGTGTTTTAAAATCATAAATACCTTCAATAGACTTTTCTTTCTTTTTAGAAACATGATTCCAAAATTGAATATTATCAGATAAAACAATTAAGATTGAATTTCGATCATTTACAAAAGTTATGTTTAATAAATTTTATTTATTTGCTATTTCAAATATAATATATAAAGGCTTTAAATTATTTTTCAAATCAAAATTATAATATTCGATTCTATTTTCATTACATATTGCAAAGTTTTTATTATCTATTGAAATAGTAAACAAATCTGCTTTTAAATATCCTTTGTATGCATTTTTAGGATCAACCTCAGAAAGATCTTAAAAATCAACCATATTTTTAGACTGAAGTGCTAACAATTTGTTATTATAATTTAATTTAAGGGATTTAAATAGTTTTTTTACAAACCTCTACTCTGAAATTTATTCATATTAATTAATACTATTCTTGATTTTATGCCCTTTAAAATTACTATAAAAAATAAGGCGATCCTAACTCTGAATGCAAATCTCTTCAGTACTCGATAGCTCAATTTTTTTGACTTAAAAATCAATATTAATGGTTGATAATTTAAAAAATTGTAATTTTAAAACTGAGATGGCATAAATATTTATTTATTATTTGTTAGAATATGCTAAATAATAACCATTTTGAGAAAATGCTAAATTGGTTTGATTATCTTATGTCTCAATCTCTTAATTAAATGGTTTAAGATGAATTTTTTCATTCAATTTCATCAATTAAAAAATTTATATAATCTAATTCATAGTTTCTATTGCTATTATGGAAAAGTTAATAATAATGGGATAGTTAATAATGGGATCGTTCATATAGGAATAGTCAAATTGATCTTGTATTGTAAAAACATTATATTTAATTTCTTATTAATCTTCCATGTAATTTAAATTTATAATTCTTAAAGAATTTTATGTTGTTTATTATATCAAAAAAGACTCGTTAATGAAAACTACTTCTTCAGAAGATAGTTCAAATTAATTATAAACTTTAGTTTAATCTCCATCTATAAGGTGTTTCATTACCATATTCTAACCACTCTTTATTACCAAATATTCATCCATATAGATTTTAAATAGACTCATTGTTTATTGTAAATTTTAATTATCAATATTTTATTCTAATTCAAAATATTTAATAGTTTCTAAAGTATTACGATCTTTAATATTGATTTCATAAAAAATTATAGACTTTTATGTCTAAAGAATGAATTTTTAATCTGATTTAAATAAGATATCAACACAATTTTAATCTTTTATAAAGTAAATCACTTATGTATTTTTAACATCCCAAATAATGATATTATCAATACTAGCAGAGATTAGATATTATTCATTAGTTGATAAAGAAATTTAATTAATTTTTTCTTTATGAATTTCTTAAAAGTTAATCAATTTCAATTCTTAATTTTCAAATATTCCAAACTAAAGTATTTTATCAATTGTAATGCAAATCTTAGTTCCATCATTGAATAATTAATAACAACCTATCTCTGAATCATTTGCACAATTTATCTTAAAAATTAAATTAGAAATTATTTAATCTCTTTAAATTTAGATATTTTAGATATCTATTTGATTATTTTTAGTTTAAATTGCAATTTGTAGTATGCTGTGCTATTCATCTACAATTTTAAATGCTTATTTTAGATTCTTCACAAATCCTTTAATTAATCCTATAAGGTGGATTTTTATTTAAGAATCTATCTCCATATACCAAAATGTAATTGTTTCATCTTTGTTGGAAGTTATAATACAATTAGACAAACAGAATTACATAGATAAAGGCTGAAAATTATCCAAAGGAATTCTATCTATTATATTTTGATTTTCACTAATGTCATAAAACTCAATAACATTATTTTTCGCAATTACAATAAATTATAGTTCTTAAAATTTTTCAACAAATTTATTTTTTATTATTTATGGGCAATTTTCTAATTTCATTTTCACTTGAGCTAAACAATTGCAATCTATAAATATTTTATCTTCTTGAAGATTAGTAATTTTTTGTTTATCATAGAATATAATGTGATCTTTTTTGATTAATATTAAATTTTTAAGACTTTAACTGAAATATCTTGGTAATTAATCATTAACCTTTAAAGAAGGTAATGAATTAATTTTTTCATATTATTCATGAATTTTATACCAAATATTTACTTGTTCCTCACTAGTTGAAATAAAATAATTTTTTTCAAGATCCGTAAAAGTTTTCATGAATTCATTTTTTGCTATAAATTCATTTTTTGCTATAAATTCAGAGTTGACAGTTTTAGAATTTCTTTATAATTCTTCAAACCTTTTTGGTAACAATAAATAAGAATCTTAAATTTAAATTATTTAATTTTTATGGGCATTTTAAAAAAGCGGCTTTATTGATTTATTTATAACATCCCATTAAAATATTGCTCCATCTTCAGTTCCTAATAATACTTCACCGTTCCATTAAAGTTTAAAAGTTGTAAATGGAAACTCTTTTTTATCTACTATAATATGTTTAAACCATTCAGTTTTTTATTCTATTTGATTTGTTAAATCTAATACTTAAAAAAAATTGTATTCATAATTAAGTGAAATAACTTTATCATAATTATTATAAAAATTAAATAGATAATTCCATTAAAAGGGTGCAAACATTAATAATTTTATATCAGTTTCATCAATTTGATAAACTTAAATAAAATCATCAAAGAATAACAAAATTTTACTAGAATCAGATGAAAAAATACAATCCAACAATATAAAATTTTGTAATTACTTTTGTATTTTTTTAGTTTATAAATTCCATATACACACACTATTTTATCCCCAAGAAACAAGGATTTTATTATTTGGTGAAAATTTAATTCCGTCTATAATTTCATTATTTTTAGAATTATATACTTCAACATTATTCTAAGGTATTTATGTCCATTCTACTTGTTATAAGCTGGCATTGTTAAAATTGCAATTAAATATTAAAACTTCTTTAAACTTTGATTCATCTAAATTACTACCAAAAAAATTTAGACCAGAAATGTTTGTATTTTCTAATTATATTGATCTAAGATCTTCTCCAACTAGTTCCATTCCTAAATAATTAATCATAAAAATGCTATTAGATGCTGCTCTTATATATTTGTCACTAGTCGAAAGCTTTAATATTTTTATCAAGGTTTCCTTAATATTATCATAATTTTATAAATCATCTTTAATAATATTTAATTCTCCATAAAAATTTGAAAGAGACAAATTAAAATCATATTAATTAAACAAACTCGTTTCAATATTTTCTTCAACTGATCTTTTTTAAAAAGATCTTTAATAATCTTTAATAAGCCTTAAAATATATTTTCCAACAAAATACTCTTGAATTGATTTATGTTAAAAAGAATAGTAACCATCTTCAAGATTAATTAAAGCGCATCTAAGGAAATCTTTATTATCATTAAAATAATCATACTAAAATTTAAAACTTGTTTTTCCTTCTTTTTAAAGCTATTTTTATGTAAATTTTTATCCAGAACTACTCATGATTACAGCAAACTTCATTTGAAATTTATTTAGTTGGTTTAAGAAATCTGATTAGGAATTTTCTAACTTACTTATTTACTTTTCATGATATTGAGCTACATATAATTTATAAAATTAGTATAAAGTAAACTTTGATTATTCTACAGCCTTTCTAATTAAATCTTTATCTTAAATTGAAATGGAAGGCATTTAATTATTTAAATATTCTACTGGAAAATCATCAAAAAAATTTAAATCTTCTAATATATTCATTAAATTATCAATATATTCCTCATCATTAATTTATTAACCTAAATTATTTGATTTAATTTATTATTTTTTTAACTTATATAGAATTGAACGAAACCTGTCCTTCCTAGTTTTTTTGTTCACTGATTATTTATCTATATTTAATAAGACAGATAAAATGATTTTCAAGCTTTAAGGTGTTTTAATCGAATTTTAAATTTAATTATTGTTTATTAATTTCATCATCTAATTTGGACTCTAAATTTTTTTTAAGTCATCCTTAAATACTTATAAATCTTAAAATGATATATTCTCACATTCTAATATTGTTTACAACTTATAAAACAAACTTGACAAAAACTCATCAGAAATAATATTGTAAGATTGAAATTTTTATGAACATTTTAATAGATTTTATATATCTTCTAAAAAAAAAATCTCCCAAATCTCCTTGAAATTATTAATAGAAATTATAGAATTTTATTTTTAAGAATTTTGTATAAACTTATCAGAGGCATCATATAATTTTTATCTAAAAACTTAGATAAAATAATATTCAAGATATTATTCTATTTATGATTCTTCAAAAGAGATTATTTCAGCCTCAGTAAAAGTTTTCTCATTTGTTCCTATAAACAGTTATTTATATTTTTCATAATTTAGAGTTTCTATTCTTGATGTAAAGATTATTTTTACATTTTTGCCCAATTGAGTCTTGAAAAGTTAATTAGATTATATTAAATTCTTTTCCCTATATTTTTATTACAGTTCATCATAACCGTCAAATAATAAAATTAAGTTTTTTTAACCTTTAAAAACATCTTATTACAAAGATTAGGTTTCCTCTTTATTAAATAAAAATAAATCAGATTCTAAGATTTAACTCCAAATATTATTGTCAGGCTTTTCAATATGGCTCAATTATATATAAATTGGAATCCATTTTTTTAATTTGGATTTTGAATCGTAAAGGTTCCATAAAAAAAATTAAAGTCTTTATAAAATTTTACTTTTTCCTGATCCTGCTAATCCTTTTATCAGTAGAACATCATTTTTATTAGTATTATCCCATAAAAATTTATTAATTTTACCTACCTATTGAATTTGATCATTACAATTAATATCAAATTCATCAAATATTATATCACCATTTTTTATTTTTAAAGGAATATTGATTTGATTAAAATTTTAGTCGTCATTTAGTTATTACTCATATCTATAATCCTATAATATTCGCTCTTTATGATCCATAAGCTTTTTGTTATATAATTTATTTTTGTTCATGTTACAATCTTTTTCATCAATTAAATTATTAAAATTCTCTTATGTAATTTAAAACTCTTTTTATTTTAAAACAAATAGATTATTATCTTCTTTTTCCAAAAGATCAATATACACTTGACAATCTAATTATAATTTTTAATTTTCTGAAGTGTTTATTATTTTTATAAAACTAAATTTTATAAATTGTTTAATCAACTTATCACACTAAATTTTAATATAATGTTCCCAACAATCCAATTTTAAAAGCTTGGATTATAGTTCATTAAACAATACCGATTTCTAATCAACAAATAAATCTTATTAACCTTAATGATATGATATTAAATCAAAAAGCATTTCAAGAAAGTGTAAATGTACTTTCATATTCTAATTTTTTACAATAGAAAACTAATACCCATCCCATAATTAATTGAGAATTTTATCGATTGATATATCTTCATTATTTTTAATAATTCTTATTATTATCAACTTTAACGATTAAAAAAAGTAATAAATATCATATTAGTGAATATCACTCTAATTAATAGAATCATCCAAATAATTTTTAGCATTTTCTATCAATTTATAGATTATGTCACTTTATTCTTAAAATTTATTATATTCAAAAATAAACTGTTCTTGTTTTTCTTTTTATTTTTATTTTTTTCCATTTAATTCTTCTAAATACTTAATTACAATCTATGTAAGACTGTAATAGTAATCATAGATTTCATATAAACCTTTTTATTTAAAAAATTCTTAATTTTTTTAATCTTCTTTAAATTAATTGAAAAACTTAGTATTAAATTTGATTGAATTGTGTATCCTTACTTGTGAATAGATAGTAATAAATAATTATTGAATACATTTAAGTAAGTTATAAGAAAGAAGTCTCTTTGGTTTTTTTATTCTCCTTGATAATAAGAAAATAGACTCAATAGCCTTCTCAATTATCATAATTTATCTTTAATTTAGCTCATTCTAGTTTGATAAATAATAAAGATTAGCTTCATTCTAGTGAAACCATTATAAAGCTTTATCTAATTATTTGATCTCATCTTAATCTATTTCATTTTCTGATATCCTTTCAATAAGACATGAATAAAATGACAGATATTAGAAAATATCTAATTCTAACGTAATAATTTTCTCTTAATCTATTTATTATTCTTAGTCTTTGCATTTAGTTTAAGATGTTCCTCCTCCTCTTAAATTGGTGTCGTTATTCTTTAATAAATCATCTTAAATGCTTTATTTTTGCATTGTTTAAATTTCAACTATTTAGCATTCATTTTGCTTTATCGATCTTAATTTATTGAAATCTATATTTGAAAACCAAAAATTTAGAATGGTTAGTCTCATTTGATAAATATTAAATAATGCGCTAAATTTATTAGACGCCTTTATTGCAATAAAAATACGTCATATTTAATAAAAAAATATAATTTTCTTGATTTTTATTAGCAATCATTATTTTATGAATTAGACAATATATTCAAAAAATATTAATTAAGTAAAGCTCATTTAAAATAACAATTTTTAGAATCAAAAAACAAATTTGTATCATTTAAGAGTAGATTTAACTGATAAGGTACAAAAAAGATTCATAAAAAATGTAAAATAATGAATATAAGATAATTTAATTATGGAAAATATCTCACAATTAAGTTTCTTTATTCTTTTTTATAATTAATTAATAATTTATGTCAAAGAAATAATTATTGTCCTTATTTCAAGACAATTAGAGAAAACGATGAATTAAAGTTTATTTAGTTTGATATTAAGTTGTTATATAAAAATTTACTTTTAATTTTTACATTAACCTGTACTTAAGCATAGGATTACTTTTAAAAGTAGTAATAAGCTCATCTGTATTAATTTGAAATATTTTAGATAAACTTCAATATTTTTCCTAATGAAAATATATTTTTCAACCCATTAGTTTATTAAATTAATGTAAAGGATGAAAAATTTGATGAAATAAATATAAATGATATAAATATTGAATTATAATTATCGATTAAATAAGAATTATACTTAAAGAAATACAATTAGAAAACTAATAGACTTACGAATTTAATGGAAAAGAAAGGCTATTTAGTTATATTTTGAATGAAGAAGATGATTTAGAAATTATTTTATTAAGAAATAGAAACAATGAGTATTTATATCATGATAAGAATTACCTATAAGATGGTGAAATTATTATGAATAAAAACTAATTCAAATTAAGTCAAATATTTCAGATTGCTTTTAACTACATAAACTTGATTAATAAACCTATATTATTTAATGTAAGTCTAATTAAAATAGTACAATAATATAAATTCTGAGTTAATCATTAGTATTTGATGAAATTATTATTTAATGATTGCGTTTGTCAGGTTCAATATTAAATCAATAAACATTAACAATATTTAATAAAGAATGTTATACAACTATTTTATTTTCAATATAAATAATTGATTTATCATTTACAGATTTTAAATAATATGATTTAACCTAGTTAAAAGGATTCCTGAAAATAATTAATAACTTATTGATTTGTTATTTCATACTCAAAGCGATATACATTAAATTTATATCAAATAATATGGATTATAAACATGTAAAATATGTGGATAAAATAAATCTATGAAAATTCAAAATTTAATATTAAAAAATTGCATAACTATCAAACTTTTAGAATATTATTTGTTCTCTTAAAAAAAAAAATAAAAAAACATTTAGATGAAAATAATTTAAGTTTAGGTTAAAGATTTTTATTTTTGATAAAAATATTTATTTTGAATTTACATATGATGAGCAACCAGTTTGGCTGAAATGATTTTACTGTTTAAAGTATTTATTAATATGTAGATTAAATATAATTAATGATTAAAATAAGGAAAGTTAAATATTAATATTAATTATGAAGGCTTAAGAATTTGATAAATAAGATATAGGCAAAATATAATAGGAAAAATTAAATTAAATTACTAAAACAATTTTAGGATGGAAACTCCTAATTAAAGTATTATTTTTCGATTTAATTTCACGGATATCTAAAATTAAACCAAAAAAATAAATTTAACTTTTGATTATTTGAATTTTGAAAGCAAAAAGTTCACATATCCGATGAATTTAATACTTGATAGATAAGTAAGCTATTGCCTTATAATCTAAAATAGTAGTTTATGCAATTTAAACAATTTACCTGTAAAAGAATCCTATGGAAACAAAGAGAATATAAAATATTAATTAATCACTTCAATCAATAAATTAATTTTTTGCTTTATAAAATCATGAATATGTTTCAATAATAAATAATGATTTATAGTAAGTCTCTCATCTAAATTATTCATATTTAAACCTAACTGAATGTTTACAATCAACCTCTGATTCTTACGAACTATTTTCGGTATGCAAAAACGAAAAAGTTTTCTATTGGTTAACCTTCAATCTGGAACCTTTTAGAAATATAGTAAAACTTCAAGTTCTTTAAATCCTTGGGAAAATTTCCAATATTACCAAAATAAGCAGTATCTTAGACCAAAAATTTATACTAGCTTCCTTAAAGGGCAATATTCAATAATTGTATTGGTTTAATTAAACTTATGATATATTGTAATACATAGGTTTTGAAGAAAAGAAATAAATGTATTGTCAAGATTTTTCTATAACTTAATTACCCTAAACCAATGAAGAAAATAAAAAAAAGTTAATATTAATCATCAATTTGCAAGGAAATCTGGTTAATTTTTTTGATATGTAAATTCAAAACAACACCCAAAAAATATAAATACTTGAATAATTTGGCTGTTCATCAGTAATTAAGTAAATTTTAATTTTGGAGATAGTTAAGGCTGATTTATTCATCTTATTTACTGATACCACTAGCTTTAGCTATATAGTATAAATTTAATTATAATACAGATATAACGAATTAGTAATATCGAATGGAGTGGTTCTTATTAGTTCTATACCAACCTACAGTAATTTACCGACTATGAATAATTCGATTTACTAAAACGGTATTTTGATGATTCAATTTTAATAAAATAATGGTTATATTGTTGGTTGTTATTATTTAGATAATCTAAGAGAACATAACTTAAGTTTACCTTATGTTATGTAAGGTTCATTTTATACTTCCTCAAATCAATATGCAATGATTATGAACCAATATTATTTAGAAATGGAAGAGAGAAAAAGAAAAATTAGAAAATTTAAGTAATGCTTAACTGAAAATATTGAAAAATTAAAAGAATTAGATTATATCAGTCAACAAATATAACATTTTGAGTATTACGTCAATTCTATTTTAAAGAATATTAAACACATAAAAGTAATCTATATATTCCATTTATAAGAGTGAAATCTCAGAATAAATTATGTTATAATAGATAAATTAAAAAACTAATATTCATCAAATAAAAGAGTAAATTAAATAGATGTCTGATGATATTTCATTGAACAATGAAATCAATATTATTAAAGAAATGTAAATGAAACCATTTAATACTATTATGTCACATTATATGAATAAATGTGAAGGACATTTAGAAAAAATTGAAAATATGATTACTTCTGCAAAATAACATTTAGAATTTAAAGAACTGTGTAGATAAATAGAATAAAAACTATTGCTCCACATTTTAAGGAAACATGAATATGAGGATTTTTATCATTCTGATTGTTCTTTATTTATTTTAAACAAAAATTTTTCAGGAATTACCCATCCCGTTACTAAAGGTAAACCTTACTAATAATATTTATTAATAATATTACTTTCATTTATTCGCAAATCAATTTAAATTATGGCAAGGCTATTTATACTTCATATTTCTAATCTTATTGTTATTACAAGTCCTTGTTAATGTCCTTACGGAGTTTGTTCCTCTTGCATATCTGGTTATTATAACTGGATAATTGCCATGCATGTTAAAAACCATGCTAAAATTGTCAAATTTAAAAAACAAGCTGTACAAGTTGTGTAGATACTACAAATTAATCAACACCTTCTTGCAATTGTAAGTCAGATATGGGTATGAATACTTCTACATATATGTGTTTTGCTTGCTCTAGTAATTGTGATACATGTACATCAGGAACAGTTTGTACAAAATGTAATGATGGATATTATCTGAATTCTAATGCTTTTTCTTAATGAATTAAACCTTGTGTAAATTGTTCAACTAATACAAATTGCTTATCATGCGTTGATTCAACTAACTAAGTTATTCCAACTTGTGCATGTAAGGAAGCTTAAATCATAAATTTATCAACATATAATTGTGATAATTGTCCTTATAATTGCTAAATATGTACTTCAACTACAGTATGTACTTAATGTTATGATGGATATCTTTTAAGTGGTACAGTTTGCATTCCATGTACTAAACCATGTGCTAAATGTTCATCTAGTGTCACTACCTGTGATACAAATGTTTTTAATATTAACTTCAATATTAATTATANTTTAGAAATGGAAGAGAGAAAAAGAAAAATTAGAAAATTTAAGTAATGCTTAACTGAAAATATTGAAAAATTAAAAGAATTAGATTATATCAGTCAACAAATATAACATTTTGAGTATTACGTCAATTCTATTTTAAAGAATATTAAACACATAAAAGTAATCTATATATTCCATTTATAAGAGTGAAATCTCAGAATAAATTATGTTATAATAGATAAATTAAAAAACTAATATTCATCAAATAAAAGAGTAAATTAAATAGATGTCTGATGATATTTCATTGAACAATGAAATCAATATTATTAAAGAAATGTAAATGAAACCATTTAATACTATTATGTCACATTATATGAATAAATGTGAAGGACATTTAGAAAAAATTGAAAATATGATTACTTCTGCAAAATAACATTTAGAATTTAAAGAACTGTGTAGATAAATAGAATAAAAACTATTGCTCCACATTTTAAGGAAACATGAATATGAGGATTTTTATCATTCTGATTGTTCTTTATTTATTTTAAACAAAAATTTTTCAGGAATTACCCATCCCGTTACTAAAGGTAAACCTTACTAATAATATTTATTAATAATATTACTTTCATTTATTCGCAAATCAATTTAAATTATGGCAAGGCTATTTATACTTCATATTTCTAATCTTATTGTTATTACAAGTCCTTGTTAATGTCCTTACGGAGTTTGTTCCTCTTGCATATCTGGTTATTATAACTGGATAATTGCCATGCATGTTAAAAACCATGCTAAAATTGTCAAATTTAAAAAACAAGCTGTACAAGTTGTGTAGATACTACAAATTAATCAACACCTTCTTGCAATTGTAAGTCAGATATGGGTATGAATACTTCTACATATATGTGTTTTGCTTGCTCTAGTAATTGTGATACATGTACATCAGGAACAGTTTGTACAAAATGTAATGATGGATATTATCTGAATTCTAATGCTTTTTCTTAATGAATTAAACCTTGTGTAAATTGTTCAACTAATACAAATTGCTTATCATGCGTTGATTCAACTAACTAAGTTATTCCAACTTGTGCATGTAAGGAAGCTTAAATCATAAATTTATCAACATATAATTGTGATAATTGTCCTTATAATTGCTAAATATGTACTTCAACTACAGTATGTACTTAATGTTATGATGGATATCTTTTAAGTGGTACAGTTTGCATTCCATGTACTAAACCATGTGCTAAATGTTCATCTAGTGTCACTACCTGTGATACTAATAATAACAACAAGAATGTTAATAAAAAAATTAAATATTACAAATATTAATAATAATATAATTACAATTATAATAAAAACAATAATGCAAATTTGGATATGGATCTACAGGAAATGGTGGAATAAATTGTTCTTAATGTAAATACCCTTGTCTTGATTGTTCAACAAGTAAAACTACTTTTTTATCTTGTATTGATAGTAGTATATATCATTTATCAGATAATAAATGCTTATGTTAAGATGGTTATTTTTAAATAGAGACATAATGTCAAAAGTGTTAACCTTAATGTTCAACTTGCACATATAAATCAGATAGCTGCTTAAAATGCTCTGATCTCATCTATTAAATACTAAATGTGCTAAATGTTCAGAAAAATGTTTAACTTGTTAAACAAGTGCTTCAAATTGCATTACTTGTAAATTTCAATAAAATAAACATTATGTGAATCATAAAATGGATATTATTCTGATTATATTAATAATAAATGCTATTCAAAATGTGGTGATTCACTCAAATCATTAGATGAAGAATGTGATGATGGAAACTTATTATCTGGTGATGGATGTGATCGAAATTGTAAAAATGAAAAAAAATTTATATGTAAAGATGGAATTTGTATAACCCCAGAATATCCTATTCCATATTTATTCAGTTTTGGAGACAATTCTTTATATAAGAATATTAGATAATACAAATTAACATATAATTTGTTTTTAAATTTACCATAAAATGATTCAGTTGAAAATAAATTTATCCTACATATTAAGAATTAAATTTCAGAAAACCCAATTGATTGCCAATACAAAATATTACCATAATATTAGTTAGATATAATTACTTTAAAATTCAGTTCTGTAATCAATCAAAAGTTAATTTTTCAGTCATTTTTTGAATTAAGCTTTAATAGAAGTACAAAAAATGAAGAATTAATTATTTAATATCAAAATAGTTCCAATTTTATTTCAAATTAAGGTTACACCTAACAAGAATCATTTATTTCAGCAATTATTCCTGAATATAAATTTATAGAAGAATCAGCTGTAGCTTAAGTATAAATGGCTACAAATGGTAATTAATATGTATTATATGTTATTGGTGCTATGTGTGGAGGAGCAATATTGTTTGGAGGTTTAGATATTTTTTATAATTTGTTGGATACAATCCAAATGTTATCTTATCTGAAATATATTAACGCTTAAATGCCTTACAATTTGTAAGAGTTTTTTGATTTTTTTGGTTTTGCTTAACTCAATTTTATTTCCAAATACTTAAACATATAAGAATTAATAGATCCATACATTTCATATAAGAACTAAAACCTA